GTTCTTCACTTGCATATCTGAATGATAGACAAAGAAAGTCTGACATTTGAGGACTCTTTGATGCAAAAGAAATACACAAAAACAAATCAATAGTAAATACCTGCCCTTAAAAAAAGAAATTAGGAAAACTAAGACAGAATAGCAAGAAAAAGATTTTCAAAAAGTTATAAATAATGTAATAACAGATGATATAAATTGGTATATGGATTGAATAAATCAGGAGACTGAAAATTACTTTTATAAAAATTATAAATGTAAAAGCTAAAATTTAAAATTTTCAAGAGGTATTAGAGGATAAAGTTGAAAAAAATTACTCAAAAAGCACCCAAAAATGGAAAATAGATGAAAGTAGAAAAGAAATTCAGAGTATAAACTTAGGAAATAAAAAAGTTCTAGGAAAAAAGAAGAATAAAATGGTATATAGTAAAGAATTTATTTTGCCCAAAAGGAAATTGGCCTTTGCCCTTGGCACCTGGGAAGTAATCTCCAAGGTCTTCAAATGTCCTGCCTTGCTTACATAAGTGATCTATAACCTTCACAAAAGCATCATGGTCATGCAAGTCTGAGGGACTATTTTTGAACTAGGAAAACTAAAACCATATGACAATTGAAAACAACATATAATTCTGAACTCGATCTTTTTGCTAACAGATATTATCAGGACAATTGGTGAATCTGTGAGGTCTGGAGATTAGATAATAATAGCATGTTATTGTTCCAAATTTTCTGTAACATTTTTATTTCTTTTTTACAAAATCACAATACACTGTTTCTGAACATGAGCCAGTTTTCAAACCTAGAATCCACCAACTGAAACAAATGCCTTAGTTGGCAGGAAAAAAGACTTTGCCCCACCACAGTGAGTGTATATGTGAGATTCATGAGTCCTTCCCAAATGGAAATACATCCACATATTATAAGAACTGTACACTGTGTAGAGGAAGGAGAGGAGCCAAACACTTCAAAGACATTGGACAAACTAGCTGAGTTGAACCGAGAAGTGGTCCATCACCATCCCCTATTAAGAATAAAGTTACATTGGAAATAAATGGAGTCCTGTCTCAGACATAGCCAATCATTTCTTTGTTTTCAAAAGTACAAGTGGAATGGATACTCCTAGTATTGGTACTTCCCCACTTCCCCTGGTCAGCCAATGAGGTGAGGTAAGAAGATCTGTCACAGAAAGATAGACCAAGCAGAATTCTCTAAAAGTAATTCTCTGATGTCCCACTGGCCAAAATAAAACATCTATGCTAGGGAAAGGGGACAAACATTAGTGCTAACCTTAATGGTCTAAGTGTGCAGGGGTCTCTATAGCATCTCCAATTAATTCACTGTTCATGCTCCTGTAGGATCCACACAATGCTGAGAATGATAATGAACACCACAATCAAACATATAGAAGTCCAATCACAACTGTTGTGCCAGACAGCACCTCTGCTAGAGTGCATTAACGTGATCTCAGGTACTATATATGGTATGTGGCTATTGATCTCAAAATCTATCCTTTCCCAAGTCATTCCCACTGGAATACAGTATTGAAGATGGCATGGCAGAGAAATCTACAACTTTATAAAAAGGTTCCTACCATGCTACTGAGCCCAACTAGAGATGAAGAACCTTACCACTGGACACTAAATGTGGGCAGAATTACCTAGAATGGGCTGGTAGAATGATCAAACACAAGTCATAGAGTTCGTTGGGCCCAGCAGAAAGACGTCACACCTAGGAAATGAAGCATCTGAGATCAAGTGTGAGCAAGCACAATTGAGCTGCACAAGGCAGTATCCTGCCCCTCAGGTTCTCCACCATTGTTCCACCAGCACTTTTCCCTCAGCTCACACCTAGGGCTTCACGAAGGGACCCTTATTACCAATTTCTGCAGAAGGGAAAATTCTAAGCTTGTCATGGATTTTTTTGATTTAGAATGAGCTGGAAATGGAATATTGTACTAAACATGGTGGCAACACAGGCAGTGGTGAGGAGATGCTCCCTGCCCTCCACACACACACAGTGAGAAGACACTTAGATGGTTTCCCTGATCAATCATTTTGTATAAGAAATGTCCCAAGAGTATAATTTGTATGAACATTTTGGGGGCAGTTAGCTGGCTAGTTTGTCAAGAATACAGAAGGAGATTTGGAAGATCAAAGACAAGGAGATTTGAGGTAGAAGTATATGGTTGGATATGGAAATGGGCATAAAATATAAAGAACTTGGTTTAGCATGTGCTAACCTGGAAAAATTCCTAAATAACCAAGCAGGTGGAATGACTTGGGTTGTTGGTATCAACCAGTCTCAGTAACTGACCACCAAGTTCCTGATAGCATGGGCAGAGAACAGAGTAGTGACAGGCATGGATGGAAGCTATGTATGGTCTCAAGATCTCCCACTCCCAAATGTCAGCAACAAAGGCCAGCATTCATTTCCCAAAATGATTCTTCTTTAGAAGTAGATAAATCTCATGGCAAGTTGACTACCCTGAAAGAGAAATTGATCTTGGTAACCAAATCATCACTTCTTTCAGGCATGAGTTGTCCTTACTGCCTACAATGCAAAAGCTGACATCACCCATCAAGGGTCTACAAAGACATCCTGCTGGCATGATATATGACAAGACCAGCATATCTCATAGTAACATGCCCCTTCCCATTCATTCTTTGCTGTAATGTGAGCCCCCAGGTAATGCAATGTTTTATAAGAGGTTATATCACAGGAAATTGTCTCTCAACAATAAGTAAGAGAACTGTAATTACACCATTGAGCCAAGGGGCATGCATTTGGCACATAAATAATCATTGATCAATTTTAATAGTAAATAAAAAAGCACAGAAGCTACAACCTGAGGACCTTAAAGAAGATAAACAAGGGCTCAAGTTCTTTGCAGTGTGGTCAGCTGAGCTTTGGGAACCTGGAATGGATGGTAGAGGAGGGAGAGGATGAGTAGCCAAGAGATCCTCTGTAGGGGCAGGATCTGTGTCTTACTCCATCTTCTTCCTCATTTAAGTCCCCAGGAAGTGAAGTTCTCTAGAGGCCTGATGGAGCTGCTCCCCAAACACATATGAGGCAGATGGAACCAACCAGGTGGAGGGAAGCTTACGGCCACTGCTCTGTGTCACTCAGATCTGTGTTTAAGGACTTCAGAATTTATTCTCCCTAGTTCTTTGGCAATCTTGTCAATCTTCAAGAACTGCATAAGCTGAAAAGATCCAGTTGTCCAAGTTCATCCCATGTATTAAGGCTGTCAACATCCGTTGCTTGATCTATAAGGAGTATGAGTGTTCAGCCACTTCACTCCAACTTAGAACATCGCTATAGGGTCATTCCAGCAGATACCTGTCATGATGGCCCCACAGCCCAAGTTCCCCATCTGCTCCATCCTACATTATCCTTTCTCTCAGAGAGGTTGTATAGTAGTCCTTTACAAACTTCTTGTGTGTCACTTTCTGTTCAAAGTTTGCTCTCCAGTAAATCCAATCTGCAACATCTTGTTATTGACAAATAAAGAATCAACTAAGAAGAGACAAGCTGAAGAGCTGAAACTAATAGTGATGCAAAAGGGCAATAAATTTGCTAAGATTTGTTAGCCTATTTGAATTTTTAAGGACAATCATGTATTTTGTATAAAAACACAAATATAATGTTAAAAAAGCAAAAGGATTTCTTTAAGATTATACTAAGAAAACCATTATAATTTTGGATAAGGATTATTTAGGGTTTGCAAATCTTCAAGGACAAGCTCCAGGGCAGCTGTTGACACACTAAAACTCCTGCCTTCTTACTATGTTATATTCAAGCTGTGGCATATCCCTTCTATCTTCATTTCATTTTCTTTCTTAGATACATAAATGTGTTCACCCACACACACCCGCAACACAGAGACAATGGCTTCTGGACTTTTTCTTCCCTGTTAACACTTTGAGACTTTGGAGAAGTGAAGACTGTATTGAAGGCAGCTAGTACAGTCATCATTTGGTTGATATGTGGGTTTGATTTAGAATGGGTCCAATTCATCCTTCTATCAGGTGGGGAATATTTGATGACTCAGTCAATCTGTTGTGGATTTCACAAAATCCATACAAAAGTGCTTTAGTTAGAATTGTCTTTCCTGGAACCAAGGACCGTAAACTTACGACTTTCCAAAACAAAACAAATCTATCAAAGCTAATGACTGGCCAAATAGAGGCTGATGCTCATTTAAAATGGATACTGGATAGGACATAGAACCATGGGTCATTCTGGCTAAGGAGGCTATTGAGATTCTTCAGGATTTTTCAATACCACTAAATATTTGTCACAATTTCAGCTTTTGGAAACACCAAGATTAATAGCATTCAGAATGAAAAGAGATGCTGAATTCACAGCTTCACATGCGCGCGCGCACACACACACACACACACTGTTATTGTCCACTTGAGAACATCACTTCATATATCCATGCATCTTGTTCTTTTTGTCGGTTAAACTAAGCTCTTTGTCTGAACTGGATGTCAGTACTCTCCAGTCTCACAAAGGAATTCTATGATTCTGTTATCCCACAAGACAATGCGATATAATGGAAGATAATTTTAAATGATCAACTTCTTTTCGGTGGTTGTCTGGTTGCTCATTATTGTGGTTTGTTTTGTAACTGACATCTAAAGAATGTATTCAATGTGATTTAAAGTGCAGTTCTTGAGAATGGATTAAAAAAGAAGCTATTACCTAAGGTGGATAGGGGCCATTTCAATAGGCTGATTCTTATAAAATTAAGATGACTTCCCACCGATGACCCTCATTTCATTTAGGCACACCTTCAATGCCACACCAACTGCACTTTATTGCACATTGTATGTCTTAATTTAATGAGACTTGGAAAGTCTAGCCTCCTTAAAATGAGAATGTTAATTATATATTGTTTTCATTCTTTCATTTGAAATAAGAAAGTTTCTTTTCTTTTTAGTTTTAAATTATAGAAAACTACAATATATTTTCCCATATAACATTTGTACATTTATATTGTGTTCACTGGCCAAGCTCACTGGAGAAGAAAAAAGAATAAAAAGACATCATCCAATTTAAATACAGAGTAACCTTTCCACAAACAATTGCTGACAGCCACATCATTGTTCTCTGGCAAAATTTTAAATCTACTGTAACTTGACTTTACTTATTACAATCAGCAAACATTTTTGTATTTTCCTTTCATTTTTTGGCCCATTTAAAAGGAAAAATACATAACTGCAGCATTAGTTAATGGTTCACAATAATCACAAAATCTTTCAAAAGGATTAAACACACAGGCACATGTGCACACACACACACACAAGTAAAGAAGGCATACATCTATACACCTTTTCACTGTTTTAAGAAAAAGAAATCCAGTATAATTCTCTGCTAAACTTTAATACAACATCTCTTAAAATATATTCTGCATTTTATTTCAAAATGCATTTTATTAAGAAAAAAAAGAAAGGAATTGATTACAAATCAGCAAATCAAAACCATAGTCTATAATGTGTCTGTGCATTTTGAATGCATTTTTGCATTCCTTTAGCAATGCAAACGTCAGAGGACTATGTGGCTTCACCATCTGCAAACCTTACTACCTTCTAGCTACCAACAAGGTTAATGCTGCCACTAAATAAAAAAAACACTGGGAAGAGATTCAGAGCTGTGATAATGGCTGCATTCATCTTTACATTGAACAGATACTGCCATTTCTATGTTAAATCTTGCCCTTGTCACCACAGGTCTTCCAATTTTTTTTTAAAAAATGTACACCATTTACTAACATAGGTCCTTCATGAACTGTTATGCTAATTCAGGTCCTTCAGATTTAGTCAGGCATTACAGAAACATCAATATGGATATAGTTCTGTGAGAAAAGACAGCCAAGTTTTCTAAGTGTTAATAAGGAAAACATAGAAAATAAGACAATAGTAATGATAAATTTACATATTTTCAAACTTCCTAGTATATACAGACTAAAGAATCTGATTTTTACTTGGGAGGCACTTGGAGTTGTGCACGTGGACAGCAAAGTGCCTTTATTATTGAATTGTCTCATGGGATACAGAGATAGTTCCAAGCAAGTATCTTGTTTACATGGCTTCAGAATGAATTATTGTAACAGTTCTATAAGGTTATTGACAATTCCTCAATCTCCTAATCATTCTGATCACTCTAATCAGAATGCACTAGTTAGTGGATTTCATTGATTGTTGGTACTTTCTGAGAAATTAATCATTCTACATAAGAAGTAACTAGAAGGAGAGGTTTAGTATGGGTTATACAGTGCACTATCTTCCCTTACAATGAGCACCCTTTAATTAGTGCACCGGTTGTGCAGAGAAAGGGGCGTGGTGCAGCTCATATTTCAAACAGTATGTATTGGAGGTCCATGCCTGAAGGGGTACATATGTTACATTTTTAGCATGAGAAATGGGGCTCTGTAGTTCAACTTGTTTCATTTTTTTCTAATATATAAGAAGATACTACATGGAATATAGTCATGGGAGATCAAAGAAAAGTTCATGATAACCTGTAGAAAAACAGAAATATAAACCTACAAGAAACTGACATATGGTTCAAGGAAAATATTCTCAGAAGTATATTTCATTCGAGGTATTACAAGTGTAATTAAAAATAATTTTTGCTGTGTTAAGAATTTTTTTCTATATAATCAACAAGTTTAATTGAAAACATTTTACAGTCTTTGGGAAATTGGAATTACTCGGGTCTTAACTACTGTCACCATCAAACAATGATAACAAATAAAATAGAAAACTTTTAAAGGTAAGACATCACATATGGACAACCACTGCACTTTGATTCTTTTTACAAATGAATTGTATGTTCAAAGGTAAAATCAGACACTCAAAACCAAATGTATCCAAAATCATTAAGAAGAGTCAAATAGAAAAAGAGCAATACAAACAAGCCAAAGACAACAAAACATTTTTCCAGACTACTGATGTATTGAATGTAATACAGAGAAAGGCAAAGGGGCTTTATATACTTTTGGCCACTGAAGATGCAAACACCAGCCAAACAGGATCTTAGAAGCGTTTCCAGGTCTATGAACAACACCATGGGAAGACTAAAGCAAACGCAGCATATGTTCTCAAACAAAGCAAGGTCATTAGAGTCCAATTTTGACTTTTTATCTCTAACAAAACTTATGTATTACACAGTGAAGAGACTGGGGCTACAGTTTTCACATTTAAAAACTGTAGTCACTGAGCAAGTTAAACTGGTTATAGATCATGTCAGAACAGCTGGAAATTAACAGCAATATCTAATTCATTGTTACACAGAATGACTGCCATGAGGAGAATGTCACTGGATGAGGCCTCCCGGAGCCATCCGAGCCTGGACACGCCAAGACGGCTGTGCTGCAAATCCATCGCCTGTACATTCAGGGTAAGAACAGTTCTTGTCCATTCCAAAGCCCCCGGCTATTAAAACAGACTGTCATCAGTATAAGTTACATCACAGCTGCCCATCAGAAGTACTCTTTCTGATTTTCATTCACTGCATTTTGTATATTAAGCTCACTTTTCAAAACAGCTTCAGCACTGTCTACATTCTCTGACCTTTTTGCCTCATTTCTTTTGTATAACCTTTTCTGCTGATAAATGCGAACAGCTATGGCAGTGATGCAAAGCAAGATAAAGATCACAACAGCTATCAGGCCTAGAGAGAGAACAGAGAAGAAATACAAAGTCAGAGTTCTGGGAGGGATAGAACCATGTTGACTTCATTGCTTGATAAGTCCTAAGAAAATTATTTTCCACTAAAATCAAGCATCTACTACACATAAATTGGACAGATTAAAACTTCAGGCATTTCTGATTCAAACACTGTTACAACATATTGAGTTTTCTTTTGACTGCCATCAACTTACATGTTCACCTCTGTTTAATCTGAATGCATGTTATATTGGATCTACTTAGTACGTTTATATTTAACACAGAGTATTACTCATATGTTTCTAAAACAAGCTGGTCACTTCATATTAAGATGTACATAAGTATTGATTATTTTGAAATTACTGAGGAATAGTAAAATAGCAAAAGTTTTAATACTAAAAGGCTTATATGTGTTTTTGTGGTTAGATATGTAAAATTTAATAAAGTTGATTTTCAATAATTTTTACAGTACTGAATACCAGGAGTAGGTCAGTCATATGAACAAGCATTTCTGACTAACAAAATATATATGTATATATATGTTTTATATATATTTAAGTTATTTCTACATGAGGAATATTGAGTTTTTGAAACTTCTTTTTTAAAAAAAGTATAATTTTTCAGTACTACAGTCCTCAGCCATGCCTACAACAATCAACTTTGTCATTACATTAGGTCTATTGTTCTCAAAGTGTGATCTGTGATCCCCAGGACACTTTGGGGAGGATCTCAAAGTTAAAAACTAATTTTGTAATAGTTCTAAATTCTTTTCACTGTGCTGAAATTTCTGCTGATGGTATAAAATAAAGCAGGTGAAATGCCTGGTACTTAGCACAGATTAAGGCAAGGATACCAAGCTGTAATAGTAATCACTAAATTCATGAAGCTGAAGACATTGTACTACCAGGCAAGAGCCATGTATTCATTTAAGGATGTCCTTGATGCAGTAGGAAAAATTCCTCATTTTATTAAACCTCGACCCTTGACAACAAGTCTTATGAATGTTTTATGTGTTGAAATGGGAAATACACATAAAGCACTTGTGGAATATTCTGAAGAATGTGGTCTGTTCTCAGGAGAAACATTGTGTGAACATTGGAATCATGAACTGAACTAGTTGTTTTCTGTTTCATGCAACACCATTTTTATTTGAAAGATAAACTAACAGGCGAACTTTGGCTGTCAGATTTGAGTATTTAGTGGAAACTTGATGTAAAATAAGAAAAACAAATCTGTCACTTCAAGAAAATAATAGCATATGTTACTAATGATAAAAATTAAGCCTCTAAATAAAAAAAAATTGGAAAACTATTGTGTCACCATGACTGGAAGATATTCCTCATACCAAAGGACTTTTCTGATGCAATTAGTCAAGGTATCAATGAATGATACATTTTTAGATAAAAATAGGTAATGTGAAAATAATAATGTGGATCAAATCTCATATTGCAAAATTAAGATTTCATTCTAATATAAAATAAATGTATATAACTGTAATGGAGTATGATCAAGTTGAAGATTTAAAAGTTCTTATCAGTCATAGGTGATTCTTAAACAAGTGATTTGCTAAGAAGATCTCTCCGTGGTCAATCATACTATTGTCAATATCCAGATAATTTTTGGCTAGAACAGCCTTTCCTGAGAAAGAAAACAATCTAATGTAAATGTGGTGACTGAATTATGTACATGAGATCTGAAGAGTTTACTAATGGGCATGGTCATTTTTTTATTATCAATGATATTAAAAAAGAATAATTTTAATTAAAATATTCATTTGTTACATATTTTGCCTCTCATTCTTAGTTGAGTTGCTTTAAATACTACTTGTGTCTGATTGTAAAGCTACTGGCTTAAAGAGAGAGATCCTGAACAATTTCAATGTGAAAAAACTAGTAAGATATGTTATAGAGAGTGAGTATCACCAGTACATTGGCCTAAATGGGACACTGAGATACTCAAAATCACCAATGGTCTCTGAATTTGTTTGCTCATAAATGTGATTTTTCTGTTTTAATTTGGGCTAAATTTTGTCAGGATGTGTTGTGTCCAAGAAAAATCTTGATCTCACCTGTTATAAAAAAATACAACTGGGGCTGGGGATTTAGTTCAGTGGTTTCACCGCCTGCTGCACAACAGCAAGGACCACAGTTTGATCCCCAGTACAAAAAAAAAAAATACAACTAAAACTATTCTATATAAATATGGCCATTCCGTACTCTGATGTTACATGCAAAGCACTGTGTGAATGTGTTCTTATGAAGAAATAGTGTAACTTTCTCTCTGTCTAAATTTGTCTATCTGTATCTGAGTATGCTGGCCAGAAACTCTGCACATCTGGGTCATCATTTTGAAATGTCTTATTACATCAATTCTCCCATCTTACATTTCTCATTTTGTTTCTAAGGAAAAAAATTACTAAAATGTAGAATGGGGTGGGAGGAACAGACAGTCTGGAAAATGCTTAAATGGATTAACTGTGGTTACAGAGTAGGTGCAATTTATGAGTAATCGGACAATGGGCAAAAATTCTACTACCATGCTACCAGATGGAGTAAACCCTGGAGGACAATACACTGTGACTTAATAATTTGCACGTGGTCCAGACAAGGCCTTCTGAGCTTAGAAGGCCATTGCCAGCCACTCTGCTTCTGTGGCTCAGCCTCTGCAAGGATGTAAACTAGACAGCACTGGTTTCATGCTCCCTGGTGAGCACCTCTAGCACAAACCTCCCATATTGTCTTTTTCTGTTCTATGCGTTTGATCTAAGTAAGAACTTCACAAGTGAACTGTAACTTATTTTTGTTCTTGAATAACATTAGAATGACCTACCAGCACATTTCTTCCTTAACTCTGTAAATCTTGGAAATGAACTTTGCCCAAAACAATAGTCTAAGAATTAAATATTGTGTTCTAATATTGGCTTGACAATACAATGCTCTATATTTATATCTATCTTGGTATCTATATTTACTTCTATTTATACAAGGAGAATGCATAGATAAAAGCACTATTATGTGACAATTTATTTGATAGGAATCCTAGTTTAAAATGTTGAGCACATTGTAAATCCTATAGCTTTACAAGAGTTTTTACTGTATACTGTATTTCCAGTATTTCTAACAGATTCTATAATGATTAACTAAAGTACAGATTATTTTAACTATTATTCAAAAAAGGTAGTTTTTTTGCTTTCCAGGTGATTAAGTGAAATTCTATTTCATATATCTTTAATTTACGTATCATTAATTATTTAAAAAGCAAAACAACAGGAACCATGATGGTGATAGTTAATCTTGATTGTCAGCTTGATTGGGTTGAGAAACACCTAGGAAATCAGTAAGCATATTTCTGGGTGTTTCCATAGATGGCTGGCATGTGGGGCGGCAAACTGATGGGGAAACCCACCCTGAATGTGGAAGAATGTATGGAAAGAGCACTACTGGCAACATCCAATAGGATGGGATCCTGAATGGAATAAAAGCAAAAGGAAAAGGAAGCCTGCTAGCACAATCTCTATGGTGATTTCTCCCTCTCTCCTTCCTGGCTGCCATGACGTGAACAGCTTTCCTACACCAAACCCTTCCACCATGATGGTTCTGCCTTATCACAGGCCTACAACCAAAAGAGCCAGCTAGCCATACATTAAAACCTCCAAAGCCATGAGCCAAAATTCACCTTTCCTCCTCCAGGTTATTATTCTGATGAATTTTATCACAGTGACAAAAAGCTGACTAACCCAGTGATATCCACAAAGATTTGACAAGTGCCATTGACTGTCTGAATAAAAATAATAACTACTTGAAGAAAATCCACATCCAGATGAGTAAGAACTTAAGAAACAGAACCAAATGGACCAAGGATAAAACCCACATAAGTTGCCCAAGTATATGAATAACCACATTATCTGACAAGATAGTAGAATAATTATTTACTTTTATATATGTCCATATCATATTCAGAGGGTGGAAAAAAGCTAAATCACTTAACATTTCAATAATTTGATTAATAGCATTCTTAAGAGCATTAATCAGGAAGAGAAAAGGTTTATTTCTAGAGCTGCTTTTGAATAAATTATATGTCAAAGAATATGCTGTCACATTACCAGACCAATATACTTTAAAATTTTTTGTGTTAACTCTGCAATTTATAAACACTGCTAATCACTTTTAGTTCATTAACCTAATATTTGATAAAAATACAGCTGAAAGTATAATATTCATTGATAGTAGCATTTACACCCTAAAAATATCCAGTTTAATAAACGTTAAGGCAACATAAAACAAATGCTTCTCATGCTAATGTTTTTTGCTTGAGCCCTTGCTAAAGCAGTCAAATGTCCAAGCTAAAGGAAATTAAAAATGACATTTTCTCAAATATATTCAGAACTCTATGGGGCCTGCAATTGGACATTTCAGGGCTAATTAATATTCATTATAGTTTTGCAATTATTCCCTGAGTATGGTGCTTCAGTGAAATTGTCAATTATTTATACTGAAAATTTCCCAGAATGCCAAGAAATCAGGAAGATTCTATAAGACAATCCAGTAGAAATAGTCAGTTGTCCTCACAACTCAGTGCCTGGCACTTGCAATATGAGTAGATTCTTCGTAGGTAATTATACAAAGCCAAATATTCACAGTCACTAGCAAGGATAGTAAGGGACCATTCATGCTTCTCATTACCTCCAATTACTGCTGAGTCACTTTTGATTACATTAGTGAGGGGTTCCCTGTCATCCATTGTTCCAGAATGATCTGCAGTTAAATCACAAAAGGGCACAGAGGTGATATAGCTAAGAAAAAGGAAGAAATTTTAAAAAATTCATAAATGTTTTAAGCCCAAACAGAATGTTGGAAGTGAATATGGGATCTCGTATCATCTTCAAATTTAACAACGAATAAATAAGACTCTAGAAGACAAATGGGAATGAGAACTCAAATTTAAACAGAGCCATTTTTAAGAAGCCATCTTGAGAACGCAGCATAACAAAATCAGAAGTTTTTCAAATCCAAGGTGGGTTTGTGAGTAGGTAAAGGAAAAGGCTTCAATCACCTGTGAATGAATGTGTTCTTTCCCTTGATGTGGCATCAGTGCCAGCAGGGGCCACACAGCTGGACTCGGTCACGTGCCCAGTGACGGTGACAGCTGCTGGGTGGCCAGAGCGCAGGGCAGCCTTCAGCGGGGCCACGTGGCTGAGCTGCACCGCAGAGAGGCAGCCAGTGAAGCCCTGTGCTCCCGCCAGAGCCGTGTCCTGGTCCACATCACTGTGCTCTGCAAACCCCAAGAAACACCGCAGTGTTAATCACAGTGAGAAGCACAAGTGATAAATATACAACCTATAAATACGCTTCTGTCTTTATTAAAAGAATTCGACCTGTTAAGACTTTCCACAACTAGTGCTGAGATCTCCTAGGTTAACGAAAACAATTTGTGTGATTAATTAAGAGTGATACAGGGAATTCTCTGGAAATGATTAAAGCCGCCACAAAAATGGGTCAGGCCATGAACCAATAGGGGTCATCATATTTCAAATTTTAAACATCATTAAAATATATTTATGAGAGAGCTTGTAGTCAATACCAGGAGGTGTATGTCCTGGATTTAGAAATGAGTTCTGCTCAGCTTTTAAGACTTAACCCATGAAAATAACAGAAGCTACAGGTAAAATTGATCTTCTAGAGTTCCCTTAACAATTGCCCAATCTAACGATTTGGTCCAGCTAAAAGCTTTCTGATACTTTACAATCCCTGCCAAAGCTGCCAGGAGGTACTCTCATGTAAGAGGCCACACTCCACAGTTATTGGCATGTCTCCTCAATGACTCAGGTGCAGCCCTGAAAACATTTATAACTCACTGTCTCTCTTTCTGCTTTAATCACAGCCCGGTACCTAGAAACATGCTTGTGCCTTTCACAGATAGCTAACTCCTCCTCCTGTGAGTATAGTGAGTATTAAACTGTTGTGGAATAGACTGGTTTGAATGCCAGAATATCAATCATAATACCCTAATAAGTAAGTAATCCTACATGCTATTTTGTTTTGCAAGAATAAAATCTATTATATATGCAAATGTTATCAGATCACCACGCATTCATCCACCAAGTACAACCACAAAATAGCACAATTACTCTCCCTTTTACTTCACCTGTGTGGGCACAGACAAAATTTGTATTTTATCTCTCTTTTAAAAAAAAAGTAATAAGTATTAAGTACTTATTGACTGCACATTATTTGCTAGGCACTATTCTAAGGGATTTGTATCTTATTTTTTTCAATTTACAGTAGCCACATGAGTAGCTTATTCCAGGCATCCAAATATGAAGCATAGGTTCAGAATTTCAATAATTTTCCTGAGATCACACAGTCATTGAAATTATTTACTGGACCCCAATCCTGTTGGACACCAAATCCTGAGATTTTTTTGTGTATGAACTACTTTAGGCTTGAGATATTCTTTCCTTCACTGCAGTTATATCCTCTACAGTGTCTTGTTTTGTTTCCATTTTGGGTGCTTTGTTTTGGTTTTTTTGTTTGCCTGAGCGCTATGTTTTAAGTAACGCTAGGCATCATAAATCTGATGGACCCTGTCTTTTTTTCTTGTATCTAGGCTTTTGAAGAACATTTTCCTTGGCTCCATTTTTTTTCACATTTTAGACCTAATGATAAAAGTACTGATTAAAAGCTTAATATGATGACAATCACTCTTTTAAAAAAAAAAAACTGAAGATTAGAGAGACTGCATCGCTTTCTGTTATGGGCTTTAATCATTTCCAGAGAGTTCACTGTATCATTCTTAATTAGCCGTATACTTAAGGACTTGTGTTCATTAACCTAGGAAATCTCAACACTGGCTGTGGAAAGACTTAATGGACTTCTTTCCAGGAAATCAGAAGAAAGAGAAATTTAGTAGCTACATATTCATTGTTATTAAGTGAACGGACACAGATGCAGACATTCTGGCCCAGGTCTTCAGCCTCTGGAGGCCTGGTCGAACCCCTGACTGCTCCTGCCTCCCTACACAGGGAGAGCACATGAGAGCATCGCTCTGGGGCCCATATTCGCTGCACTGTGAGCTCCTTAAGCTCGCAGCTGGCCCTCAGCACCCAGCAACCTGCTGCTGCATAGGAGCGACTTTGTCACCACGCTGAAAACAAAGAAATCACAGTCCACCACCTCGGCAGCCACTCCTTCCGATGGACACACAGCCAGCCCTTCCATATCTGGATCCACACCCACAGCTTCAACCCATTTGGGGCCAAATCTTGTTTTTAAATAAATGGCATCTGCACCAAACATGTACAGGCTTTTTTCTTGTCAGTAGCCCCTAAACAATATGGTGTAATGACTATTTACCCAACATTTACATTGTATTAGGTGTCATAAATAATCTAATCTCCAGCATATTGGAGAAATGTATCAGTTCTGTTTTATCAAGGGACTTGTTGATTTGGGGATCTGCAGAGGGAATCCTGAAACAAATATCCCATAGATATGGGGAAACAACTCTACATTCAAATCTATATTTTTAGGGGGGAAAAAGCATTCTAGCATTGGAAATTTTTTTAACAATGATGAGAAATAAAAAAGGAAATATATATATATATATATTTTGGGGGGGGGGGCATACCGGGGATTGAACTCGGGACCTTGCACTTGTGAGGCAGGCGCCAGAACCACTGAGCTAAACTCCTGGCCCGGGGAAATATATTTTTAATAGCAACACAATCAGGACAGTGCTTTTCATATTTCTTCTATAAGGTTGAATAAAATTTCTATAGGCTTTAAAAATGATCTTACTTTTGAGTCAAATTGCAGTGAAGATTTACCTCTCTGGTAAAAATCTGATGTGAAACATATTTTAAAACCTCACTTTTACAAATTGAAAACAGTTTTCCTTGGAAATTATTGTACAAAAATGTAAACTTTAAAACCTACAATGTGGAGTCAGTCAACGAGTATTTATTTTTTTCAGAGCTAAGGATAGAGCAAACAAATTCTCCGCAGTTTAGGCATCTTACAGTTTATTGGAGAGGAGAGATGATAAACATACAAAGAGAAACTAAATGAGAATTTTGAAGAGTCATAATGCAATGAGGAAAATACACTGGACAACGTGGTGGAGTGTATCTGGAGCAGGAAATTACCTTGATGGATTGGGTTGTTTTTTCTGTTTATTTTAAGGATGACTCTTTTCATAGCTCTATTTTTCTAGTGCCTATGGATATTATTACCTAATCTCCTGGCTCTATTCTTTTTCAAAATTTGTGAGATTCCTTGTGATTTTGTCACCTTTATCAGATTGTCCCTAGGGGTGGGAGTGTGCATTTGCTTGTGTGTGTGTGTGTGTGTGTGTGTGTGTGCATGTTTGTGTTTCTCAATACTCTACAGAGGACACAGTGAGATCTTTCCATATGCACACACAAACTTTTATTTGGCTTAGAAAATTTCATATATTGTGCATACAACTATTGTTTCACTTCTGCCCTTTTTATCCTCCTGGAATGCCATTATTCACATTAGGTCTTCTCTGTGTATTCCCCAAACCTATTTTAATTTCCCTCCTTATTTTCATATAGGACCTATTCCTGTGTGAACCAAATGCTTTTTCATTTACTTGATATTCCAGGTGATAAATTCAAGTATCAATAAAGGTCATTCCTTCCAATTGAATTTTTTAGTTTCAGGAAAAATAATGTATTTTTTAGTTGCTCAACATCTTTTGATGCTTTACTACAATTATCTTAAATTTCTCATTCTACATTTCATTCATGTTGTTGTCTGTGTCCTTGAATAGCTTTATTTTCACAGGAATCTCTCTGGTTGTTCAGGGGTTGTTGTTTTTTTATCCCTCCCTTTTGTTGGTGTTAAATCCTTTTAAGGATGGAATTTTATTTTAAACCTGCTCTCAGTTGCTCACTTACTTCCTGCTTTAGGTGCCTGAAACCCAGAGAATGCAGACCACGTAGCAGTCTGTGGCCCTGGACAGTAGGGGCAGCCAAAGACCTCAGGAGAAGTCTCTCCTCTGTACCAACCCTCAGAATAGAAAAGGCATGGTCCAAATCTCAGGTCATCCTCAGCTCCTTGGGAAAGAGGAAAAAAACCAACTGATGTTTTCTAATGCTGCTCTTTCCCTACACATGGTTCAAATTCTCTTCCTGAGACTCTCCTAGGCTGGTTGGCCCCCAGGTGCTCCAATCCTCCAACTCAGAAGGTCAGGTTGGGAGTTTCCAGATCCACCCCTCCTGCTGGGCTGGACCAACAACTCTCTGTCAGGACAAGTGATGGCTGGAATTAGAATTGGGAGTGAAAACTGCAAGGGACTTAGCAGCCATTCCACAGCTGAATTCAAACAAAATAGCTCTATCCCAAGTTGCTTGTGAATATGGCCTTAGAAACACACAGTGTTAAGGGCTGGGATTTAGCTCAGTGGTTTCGTTGCCTGCTGCGCAAGCGCAAGGACCCGGGTTCAATCCCCGGTACCAAAAAGAGAAAAAAAGAAATACACAGTGTCATTTATCTGCTTTGACAATTATGCTTATAATGCTAATGAGAAAAAAAAAAAAAGTCCTGTTATCTGATTCCTAAAATGCCAGCACAGTGTAGAGGCTAGAAAAGTAGACCTGGAAGAAGGAATTGAAGACAGCTGTCTACTTCATCACAGCAATCCTGATAAGAAAATTATATTTTGGATGGCTCTAGTTATAAAAATCTTAACTGACTCAGATTCTTGGGTGGCCTTGCCTATTAGAAAAGAAACCTCAGTTGTATATGCTAACATAGAGCATGACTTTTGCTGGTATAAGGAAGAAACCTTTTAACAAAACATCTACAAGAAAAATGGAGTACCAAGAAATTAGAATTTGATGGAATGTCTTTCCGTTACAGAGGAAGGACTGTTTCTTGGAAGATATGTCAGTGAACGAACAATTACAACAAGTACATTATGAAATTTCTTCTGACTCTCATAACCAAAACAAAATAAAAAAGAAAAATATAGGATCTCGGAAAGCAAATATAAATACTTTATAATGTCATACCTATGAAAGGGGGCCATTTAATAAAAACAATTTCAATACATTTAATGCATAAAGATAAAGAATGTTTGGCAGAAAATGGTGCTACAAATTGAAAGAGGGTCAGAGCTGGAGCTAGGCAGGACAGTCTGGTCATTGCATAAATCACTCAATACAAAGAGTGAGTGGAAAGGCAAAATGGCAAAGCAGACTACAAATACTATTTGGATAAAGGAGAAGTTAATCATAAAAGGTATTT